GCATTTTACAAGCACCAAGAATGTTATCTGAGGAAGCTGTCATTTTTAATGACAGCACAAACTTCCAATTACCAACTGGGTAATACACTAGGGAGCAGGTATGGTTTTATAAGAATGGCTCACAATTATTAAAAGTTTACATGATAACTTTTGAATAGGATATAAATACTTCTCACAAGGCAGGTGGGATTAAGTTTCTCATGTGGTCTGCAGTCAAGGCTGGAAAAAAAGAAAACTGTTTTCTTGAAGATTATACCTTTTGAGGTTTATCAACAGCTAAGAAGCAGGGGGGTGCAAGGGGATAGTCATCAAGAGCCTCGCAAAGCCGAAAGGCTGCGAAAATGGCCCGTTGGTTGGTTCAAAGTCTCAAGTACACCCACGAGTTCACTGGCAAATCACAAACTCTGACAGGTCAGATGCAAGAGTTAGGGAGCCGGCAATAGAAAACGTTAGTCCCTTCCACCGCCACGGGTCAAACATTATTCACAGAAGGAACTCCGAGGCCAGCTACCTTTAGTGGCATCTACACGCTTCATCTGCCGTCACACAGAACCACCACTGCCAGGTGCGACACGTGCTCCTCCACGTAGATTGGACAGCCCCTGATCTAGAAGAAGGCTACGATCTGTGAGTCTGAAATCACCCAATTCTTTGTGAAGTCCTTCCTGAAGACTCCAGTCTCCAGTGATCTCTCCATTTACTGAAAAAAATTTTTTTATTCCCTTAAGTAATCTCTATGCCCGACGTGGGGCTTGAACTCACCGCCCGGAAATCAAGAGTCACATGCTCTACTGACTGAGCCAGCCGGACACCCCTCCACTTACTGAATTTTAATTTGACTTGTGATATTACTACTTAGCCCCAAGCCTTGCTCCAGACAGACCAGGGTTCCTGGGGACAAGGTGTCTTGATTTCAAATCACTTATAAGGCAATCAATGAAGACAAGTGCTACATACTCTCCTTAACAACAAAGCCGTCGTCACAAATATAATTAAAAGATTTAAAAATCATTAACTAATAGCTGTGGGTGAAGAATCATTGATATATACTGATTTACGAAGCAAGTCAAATGTGTTCTCAAGCGGCCATTTCTGCCACACTGGCAGAACACTGGAGGATCTGGGGCCTCTTCACAGCCGCCACCCATGGAGGGAGGGTAGAGCTGCCTATGGCTTCGGAGCCTTCCTTTCCCCTCCCGTCCCTACATTAATCTACCTGCTTTTGCTCCAGAGGATTCTAGGGCTTGCTCAAATTACCTGCCAGTCTTTGATGGTACACAGGGTTAGAGGAGTTATCATTGGAATAAGACACGGAGAAAGCCATCAGGAAAGCTAACACAACAAGAAGGCATACATTTTCATAGTGCCACAAAGGATAAATGTTCCTGCCCATCAAAAGCTAAGTTTATGATAGCAATTAGGAAGTATATGTAACTCTAAGATGAACACATGTTATATGCCAGTCATATCTTTAAAAAAATTTTTTTTAAATATTTATTTATTTTAGAGAGAGGCAGAGCACACGCAGGGGAGGGGCAGAGAGAGGGAGACGCAGAATCCAAAGCTGGCTCCAGGCTCCGGGCTGTCAGCACAGAGCCCGACACGGGGATGCGGGTCTCAAATCCATGAACCCCGCAAGATCATGATCTGAGCCGAAGTTGGCCGCTTAACTGACTGAGCCACCCAGGCGCTCCTATGCCAATCATATCTTAACAAAAATAAAGTTTAAAAATAATCGGAAAGTATAAGCATCCAGCAAGTGAATTGGCTCAATAAATTTATACTTCCACATAGCCAAATACCAGTTAAAATTATGCAGATCTATTTTTATTGAAATAGCAAAGATGTCCATCCTATCATGCTAGGGGAAAAGCGTTACAGAATAGTATGCATAGTGTAATCCTATTTCAATTAAAACCACATTTCTATGCACATATGCATCGAAAAATCAGTTCTACAAGTGGCTACTGCTGATTTGTGGGATTATGGGTAATTTTGTTTTTTCTTATCTATAAGTTATTTTTCTCTAACAAACACAGATTACTTACATAAGAGATAATGGTCCAAAGAGTCCCCATTCCTTTCCTTTTCAACAGACATTAACAACACTTCTCAGCTTAATAACAATATACTTAGTTGAGGTTTTTCTCAATGAAAATAAAACATCTATACTCTAACCTTTTTGAGAAAAGCTGATTATTTCCAAAAGTGTTTAATAAAAACCAGAACTCCACCAATAAAGAGTGGATTATAAGACTAAGAGCTAACAAACCACATAAAAAGGTGGGGGGGGGTGGGGTGGGGGAGAGAAATCCTCTCTGAGATAAGGAAACAATCAATTGACTAGGGGAGCAGTGGCCTTCTAACAAGTGAAAAGGAAAGGAGACTCAACAACCTGTTTCATTTTCTATAAATAAAACCTTAGAAGGCATATTGCCAAAGAAACACAAGTCAATATAAACCTTTATACACTGGGCTGCCAAACTTCACTTTTAGACAGTATATTAATTATGTAGTCAATAACCACGGGTTTCATTAGTGTATTAAATACCACGATCAATATTATTTATACTTTTCCAAGACAGGCCACTCAGGAAAAAAAAAAAAAAAAAAAAAAAAAAAAAAAAAAAAAAAAGCAGGGGAAGGGGAAATTTTGACCCTGCAGTTCAAAAAAGAATAGCACACTAGAGATTAGCAAGGCTTTAATGGAAGGCATAAAACACTGAAAATATGGACAGAAATCAGATTATTATCCTTTTATTTATTTTTTTTTGTCTCTCACAGTGATACTGGAGGGAATCCAAGAACCATTTAAAATGAAGGCAAATGATTAGATTTTCCCTAATTGCTTAACGCTGATGTCATGGTGTACGCAAAATAAACATTGATCTCGGAGCGAAGAGAAATAGAACATGAACAGCCTTTCGAGGTAAACCATATCCAAGAGAATTCCAAGAACCGTGGGCCAGAATCTATTTAGGAAATCCTCAGGGACCCACTTCTCTTAACAGCGTAACCGTGGAGCCAATTTCTGATGCTCCTCTACTGGTGATCTGATTTTTAGAAGGAGAATCTGCTAAGCATCCTCCCTCCAGGAGGCTGCCCTTCCCCAGAGCACCTCCATGGATTTGCTGGTTTGATCACGTGGTCACGGAGATGGAGCGAGCGGCAACTGATACAATGGTGTCGAGTCAGGGCAAGGTGGGAGGTCAGCGCTCTTCACGGGCAGGGCCCGTGAGCAGAGGGCAGGGCGCCCGGCACTGGTAGATGGGAGACTGGTTACTGGGCTGAACGCTAGATGACCACCTCCAACCCACAATTTGTCAATCCAGAATCGTGCTGAAGACTGTAATTTTCTAGTCCGTGCTTTATAAGCAAGGTCAGACAGAAAAGAGCTTCCATAAAAATGGTTGAGGCCCCAGCCAAAAAGGGAAGTACAGCCCGACGACCGTCCTCTGAGACCAGAATGTGTCCAAACAGTCAGTGGGCCTGAGAAAGGCCCTCTCTGTCTGTGCTGAGGAACAGGAGTCATCTCGCCTAGAGCTGGCCGCTTCCTCCCAAAAGAGGACAGGTAAAGATGAGACCCACAGGACAGCCTCATTCTCCACCTCCACAGAGGGCCGCCATACGCCTCACCGGCACGAATCAAAAACCAGGTCCTCCCGCTGCAGGCTGCCTGCAACACTGCCTGGGTGCTCGGGGAGGGATGTGCAGCAAATGCCAAGTGGTGGGTCGCGGCAACCGGATAGATAATTAATATGATTAGGAACACACAGAGCAAGCATGCTCTCGCTGACTGAAAAGCTCAGTCGCATAATTACTGTTTTCTTACTGGCTCACTGTCTGTACACATTTCAAAGCCTGGTTGGTGTTAGACTGCTGTGTAAACATCAATAAAATCCCAAAGTGCCAGATCATCGGCATTCCTGGGTACAATGGCTTTTTGTTTCTAGTTTTTTCACTCTTTTAAAGATGCATCTTAGGGTTGCAAACATTAGGAAGAATGATCTCTACGCTTTGGACTAATCTGTGAGTCTGTAATGAGTTAACATCTCCCCCAAGTGAACACTTATTATGAAGGCTAATTAATTGCTTTCCAGTTACAAGAACCTTTGCATTCAAAGAAAGTAGGATTCACACACAGAGAAGCTTCTGTTTATTAAAACAAAGCAGGGGAAACAAAGAGCTTCTTCCTTCAAAATCCCTTCTATTTAACATAGCTTTAATCAAGAAATGAAACCTACAAATGCAAAAAATATGTACAGGTAGAAAAAGTATACGTTCGCCAACCAAAATGCAACATTAATTGAAGTAAAAACTAAAGCAATGCTTTGTAGTTGCCTGGATGTCCCTGGGGGACAGCAAGTCAATGCTTATCAGCCTTCCTCAGAAGAGACAATTTTGATTAATATCAGACCCATCTGACTCAGTCTATTAAACCCTGAAGGAAGGATATTCTTCAGATATAAAAGACATCTCTTTGATTAATAATTCTACCCTATTGCCATTCCAAGCATTAACAACTCTGTGGCATCTCTAGAAAGGAAAGCCTTTGAATTCTAGAAAGACACACTAAAATACAGGTTCCGCACAGCCCCTTTTCGGTTCTCCCTCCGGAGAAGGAACCCAAGTTGTGAAGGTGTCACCACTGGAGAGGCGGAAACCCGAGCTACATAATTTATTTCACTGTCTGCAGATTTAGGGTCAATTACTTCTGACATAATTCCTGCTTGAAGATAATGAAATCTTAGTATCACTGACAAAAGCCTGAAGACAGAGGGACTGGCACTACACCTCCCGCCAGCTGACCCGCTAGGTCGGACACAGTTTACACCTCAGCCACCTGAGCACACTGTCCTTTGCCTACCAATGGGTTCCAAGATGTGCCTGAGAGAGGAAGCGCCTAGTCCGCCGCAGAGAGGCTCTATGCACTGGGGACCTAATGTGGAATTGTCACAAGGGGGGGTTGGGGGGGGGGCTGCGGGCAGGAGTCTGTTTCATTTCAACTCTGCTTTTTCAAACTTCTGCCCAATCAGCACTGCTCTGCTCACATCATCAGTGCGTTTCTCTTGATGTTCATGATCAGCCTTTTGCCATATTCTCTGTAGTCCACGGGCTTCACGTCCATCACAGTGGCCTTAATTCGAGACTCATCCTTTGAGAAGAGAAAAGCAGTTCGTAAACAAAGGAAAGCCCGTGGCATGGAGCAGTGGTGATAACTCCCTTTGCTTTAGAGGTTTCAATGATCCCGGCAGGAGAAAACACAAAGGCATGCTGGATTTAGTAGTGTTCAGTAATTCCAATACAGAAAAAGTCACAAGTGAGAGCCAAGTCCAGAATTCTGGGGCTGGGAGAGTGGGGAGAAGCCCCTCTCCTTCCCTCATCCTTCCCTCATGCTCCCGAGCACTCAGAAACCTAGAATCCAAATGGGATGGACCTAAGCGGGCTTATCAAGGCCGATTTATTTTCTTTGCCAAGGTGGAAACAGGAGCCCCGAGACGATGAGTGATGCGCTTAAAGCTACACAGTTAGTTCTGCAAGCGGTGTGAAAGCAAAGGCACCTGAGGCAGAGGAGGGACACCTGGCCTGGGTCCCATCTCGGCTCTGCAACAGACCACCTCTCTGTGCCTCACCTTCCCGTCCATACCATGAGAGGCTGAATGACCCTTCAAATGGCCCCTGGATCTCACCTCAGACACTCTATCAGACATTTGCCTTCCTACTCATTTAATGCCCATAGAAATGAACACATCTGTTAGCAGAATACATCCATCAGGGTTAAGGTCTAATAGTGAAAAAGAATGGGGAAACCCCAAAATAAGCAGAGATGTTTTCAGAAGCCTCCCTCCTCACTCGTTCATCAGGACTGTGCAGTGTCTTTAGAGGAAGCATGATGTGATACCCAGAAAGGATACACGGTGTAGTGCAGGGGCTCACACGCTCGAGTGTGTGTGCTCAGTAATCACTAGTCCGATTTATAAGCACGGTTAAGAACAAAGCTCTGAAGCTGGGGGCTGGAATCTTAGTTCTGCCACGTGCTGGCACAGGACTTGGGCAAATGACTTGTTCTCTGTAAGCCTACAGTTTCTCAGTGGTAAAACAGGGATAACAATAGTTCCTATACGTCCAGGTTACTGGCAGGACCAAGTGAGATGATATATACAGTAAAAGGTGTAGAACAGTAACTGGCAGATAATAAGTGCCCAATAAATGCTGTTATATTATGACTATACAATTACATGATGTTACAGGCAACTTAAAGGAATTTTCAAGGTAATTTTAACTATGTGTGTTCTTTGTTTCATACACTAACTTTGGAGCTTAAACCTCATGGAAGATGTGAACCCACTAAACACCTTACCATTCTTTGTCAATACACAAACAAAAAACCCCAGGTTTTAACTGAAAAGACCATAAGCATTTTCTCCCCAGATGCTAGACACTGGACAAAACACTCAACCTCTCTAAGTTAGGTTATTCCTCTGAAAATGGAGATAATAACAGTACCTCAGTGCTGGGCAGACTCGAGGAGTGATAAACGCAGGGCACTTAGTACTAAGTCTGGCACACAGCAAGCAATGATGTGACAGCTGTCACTGCACTGTTGTTGTGGGTGACAAACAGTAGCATCCCACTGCTAGCCCTCCTGCATCCCAGGTGACCTCACTTACATTGTAGGTCTCTAGTTTCACCCTGATCTTGAATATGAAAGTTCGGAAGTTGGCATTCTGGAAAACTTCCTCAAATGCTTGCTCATTCTGCAAAAACAAATGTAAAACTTTAGGCATGGAAGCTACCAGACCATTTGAAAATATCTATTAAGATTTTTGAAGGGGCGCCTGGCTGGCTCAGTCGGAAGAGCGTGTGACTCCTGATCTTGGGGTTGTAGGTTCAAGCCCCACATTAGGTGTAGAGATTACTTAAAATCTTTAGGATTTTGTTTTTAAAAAAGAGTTTTGAAAAGACTTTTGAGAAAAATCTCTCTCAAAAAAAAAAAGTACCCCCAGTGGTTTGAATAGGAATGACTACTCTAAAGGCGATATTTCATTACATAAAACTGTTTGGGTAGAATTTTATTAAAAAAATTAAGGGGCGCCTGGGTGGCGCAGTCGGTTAAGCGTCCGACTTCAGCCAGGTCACGATCTCGCGGTCCGTGAGTTCGAGCCCCGTGTCAGGCTCTGGACTGATGGCTCGGAGCCTGGAGCCTGTTTCCGATTCTGTGTCTCCCTCTCTCTCTGCCCCTCCCCCGTTCATGCTCTGTCTCTCTCTGTCCCAAAAATAAATAAAAAACGTTGAAAAAAAAAAAAGAAAAAAAAATTAAAATACTCTACCTACAGTAGTCAAATTAATAGAGACAGAAAGTAGAATGGCTGCCGGTAGGGAGTGGGGGGACGCCTGGGTGGCTCAGTCTGTTAAGTGTCTGACTTCAGCTCAGGTCATGATCTCACGGCTCATGAGTTTGAGCCCCACATCAGGCTCTCTGCTGTCAGCACAGAGCCCACTTCAGATCCTCTGTCAGATCCTCAAAAATAAACAAACATTAAAAAAAAAAAAAAAAAGGAAGAATGGTTGCCAGGGGCTGGGGGAAGGGGAAATGGAGTTACTATTTAATGCATGCACTGAACTTACACTTAAAAATGGTAAATTTTAGGTTATGCATATTTCAACATAATATAACAAAACGAAACCCAAAAAACACTTAGAATTTTTTTTAAATGTTTATTTATTTTTGAGAGAGAGAGAGAGACAGAGAGACATAATGTGAGCTGGGGAGGGGCAGAGAGAGGGAGACACAGAATCAGAAGCAGACTCCAGGCTCTGAGCTGTCAGCACAGAGCCTGACGCGGGGCTCGAACCCACAAACTGAGAGATCATGACCTGAGCAGAAGTCAGACACTTAACCAACTGAACCACCTAGGCGCCCCCCAAAAATCACACTTCTAAACTTTAAAAGTTTGTGATGGAATAGGGGCACCTGGGTGGCTCAGTTCATTGAGCGTCTGACTCTTGATTTCAGCTCAGGTCATAATCTCAGGGTTGGTGGGTTCGAGCCCTGCCTCAGGTTCTGTTCTGAGTGTGGAGCCTGCTTGGGATTCTTTCTCTCCCTCTGCCCTCCATCCCTCAAAATAAATAAATAAACTTAAAAAAAAAAAAAGTTTGTGATGAAATACATCTGAGGCTCAGCATGTTCATCGTAAATTAAGAATGGGGGGTGCACAGTAAGAAAAAAGCTCAAGTTGTTATACATGGTTTAAACCTCTACATTTACAGTGATTTGTGAGCAAATGAAGCCAGGGAGGTGGGGTGGGTAAAGACTAGGGAAAGTATGAAAAACAGTTCTCTCCTTCTTTATCTTACCCGTCAAATACTATTTAAACTTTTGTACCTTTAAAAAAAATTTTATTTATTTATTTTGAGAGAGAGAGAGA